GTAATTAAATCCAAGGAACATTAATTTGGAACCATGCAGTTCCTGGTGCTGTGGCAATGTAACTGTAAACTGAATGCAGTGTGTATGTTTAAGGAGGGGACAGAGATTGAGAGATGAGGGATGTGATAATAATATGGAGCAATGGTGGAAAATAGAAACATGTACAAAGAGAAACTGGGTAATAAGTAGATTAACTGGATTTATAAGTAAGAAAGACTTCCAGAGAGAGTTTCCGTCTGAGCTCCAGGTTAATACAATTGATGATAAATATGCTCCCATAAAAATACAAGATTAGGAAAATCAATGTTCCGCAGAGTTCATGGAAAGCTTCCAATTTTTAGAATGTAGTGTTGGTATGTACGAGATGAATGCTTCACGGAGAGAATGTCCTCAGAAATCTAAGAGGATTTTGGAAATTGTTCTAAGGTACGTGCTGTCTTTCCTATCCTCAAAGCACTAGAAGAAATATCTTTCTTTATCTGTGCAGGAGCCCTGTCCTGGTTTTCCAGTGTGACTACCGCCATGTAATTTGCCTAGACTGTTTCCACTTGTACTGTGTGACAAGGCTCAATGACCGGCAGTTTGTCCATGACCCTGAGCTTGGATACTCCCTACCTTGTGTGGGTAAGTCTACCACTATTATTTCTTTATTTTGTTTCATTTCTATTGCTAACTAAGAAGAGAAGAAAAAGAACTATTGACATAAAATGATCCTAGATACACCTCATCCTTAGCAAAGGATTTTCAAGTACCTATTTGAACAGTGCCGGATAAGAAGCATTGAAGTTAGAATCTCAAATGATATAAAACAGTAGGAAATGAAGGGGCTGGTGTTGAACTGTAAAATGCACAACTTGCTTAAAGATACTGAAAATGATTTTTTTTTAAATTGTGATTTGGCTGAAAATTTACAGAGCAAATTCATTTTCCATACAGCAGTTTATACACATTTGGTTTCATGATGTTGATTGCAATCCCCACAATGTAACAGCTATCTTCCCACTTTGTCCCAGTGGTTACTTTTTCCCCGTATCCTTCCTTCCTATAGACTCCTACCCTCTGAGCATTCTCCCTGAGAAAATGCTGTGCTTTGGATCTCCTACGGTCTGTTGTTCTAAGGAATGTAACTTCCTTTATATACCTGTCTGTTGTTGGGCTGGAAGTCACAGGAGTGAGTTCAATTCTAGGTGCAAAGGGTGTCCACGGGCCATAGTCTTGGGGATTTCACCATCTCTATCACACTAGTAATCCTGGTCTTCTTTATGATTCTGAGTTTAGTTCCACACTTTTCTCCCACTCTGTCCATGATCTCCTACACTGATCCCTTTCTGAGTGGTTGACAGTGGGAGCTGGGTACCATGTCATTCTTGTAGTCTCAGAGTTGATGTTGAAAATAAATATTAAAATAT